CTTTCCTCCACACAACATTTTATCCTCATGCCACCCCTCAGAGATAGATTGGGCTGAGGGAGGAGGACTGTCCAAGGCTAGTTGTAGATTTGAACCCCGGATCATCCCAGTTCTAGTCCGGAGCTCAAACTACTACACCGCATAGACATTATGATTTGTTCATTGAATCTAAAGATTAATACAACATTTGTATGATAGTGGTAAGCAACGGGCATGATCTATTCCTTCAAGCCTTGGAAAGACTGGTGGGGGGCAATAAAGAACTGCATCTTTCTCCAACATCCTCCATAGCAAAAGATTTTGCAAAGACTTTCTTCAGCTTCTCTTCAATCTGTTTATATTTAGTAATCTTTCAACTCCTTTGCTGTCAACTTGCATTCATTTTGCTAGACTTGTAGAATCTTTTTGCTCACTTGTTTGGGCAAGACTGTCACTTTTAATGGAAACGCTATTGTCTGTCATGGTCTCCCTTCTGTTATAGCAGACTGAACACAGTCAAATTGTAACTGTTGCTAACATCAGGATCTGTAATATTTAGACTTTTCTTTGTGTTGCCAATATAGAGAAAACATTTATTGTGTACAGTGCAAGCTATCAAGGCTGAATTATAGTGGGTCTCCTACTATCCAATCAGTTTTGCAAAGGAAATTGAATCTATACCAAATGGTTGCGCTGTCATGTTTGTATGGATGTGAGGAGCATAATTCCCCACTGTATATTTGTATATTGCCAGCTGAGACCCCAACAGTGACTTCTCTTGGGAAGTTTTATACTCATATATTGTACAAAGATAGCTCGACACAAAATACATACCACATCAAATGTGGAAGGTTATATCTTTATTAGTAGAATACAGAGAGCAACCCATTCAGTGAAAAACCCTAACAGTGATACAGTTAAATCAAGATACGTGTGATTCTTGGCCTTGATTTAGCTTTGATCATTTCCCAACTCTGCAATTTCTTGGGTAATATTAGTACGGTAGTCCTAGCTTCATCTGTTAGGCAAAAGACTTAGTGACCAGCTTGCTTTGTTTTTTAAGGCCTTGCCTGTATACAATGGCAATAGTTGTTCATTGCTGATAAGATGTGTAATATTGTCTTTCTCCCATTCTGTATTAACCTTCTCTTAATATTCTCAGAAGATAAACTTGCCTCATAATACTGTGCAGTGGTTGTATCCTCAGCTGGGCCTTTATACATTTGCAAGATGCAAAACCAACCCATTATGCCACCTTGTTTTCTTTTTTTAACTCTGTTTCAGGTACCTGCTCCCAGACAACAATAAAGCATCAAAACACAAAACTCCTGTGATTAAAAAGAGTGTGAATCCCCACTGGAACCACACCTTTACTTTCGGTGGTTTGAATCCCAGAGATATACACAATGTCTGTGTAGAGCTGACTGTCTGGGACAAAGAATCCCTTGCCAGCAATATCTTCCTGGGAGGCGTTCGTCTGAGCACTGGAAGTGGTAAGAGGGGTAATTTAAATAGCTGTGAACTAGATAGGCATAATTCCAGATGGGCAACTGTGTTAGTCAGTAGCGGCAAAGCAAAACTGGAGATGAATGGCACCTCTGATACTAACAGAGATTTTATTCCAGCAGCATGAGCTTTTTGTGAGATGTGGCTCACCTCATCAGAACTATCATGTCTTAACATCCTTTAAAACAATATGTTTATATTAACAGAAAGGTGGGATGAGGAAAGGGAAATGTTACAGAGAGAATGTAGTATCATCAAACATGGTGCAATCAAAGAGTAATCAGTTGACTCAGAGTGGCTAAGGACCATTCTAAGCAAAGTAGGATTAAAATCTAGTCTAGAAAAATGAGAATGAGACATGATAAGCAGACAGTATAGGAGGTTAGGGAAGTATAGTTGAACATCTGTAAAGAGTGGAGATATAGATGATACTAGCAGCTCTAGTGAATGAGAAATCTGAAGTCCTTGTTGAGGCGATAGTCTTAAATTTACTAATGAATTCTAATTCAGCAGTTTCATGGTGTTGTTCCTTTGCAGGATAACAGTGACTTATCTGATAGAATCTCTTACCTCCCCCTATAGAGTGGGGTGGGGAGTTAGAACTAGAGATGTCATTGAATGTACTGTAGCCCTTTTGCACAGAGTACTTCAGCAGTTCATAATGCCTGGTTTCAGAGTGAGGCAAACATTCTCAGCTGTTGAAGTCCTCTATGGCTTGGAACCAGTCTGCCCTGTCTTATGTGTACAGTCAAAACCTTTGTCCTAGATGAAGAGCAGGTGGGCATAACCCCTGAAAATGTGATCATTCACACAAATAAGACCCATACTTATAGATTACTAGCCTGATACCTGTGCTTTGCTATGGTATTTAAGTTCCGTAAATCCAGTTATAATACTGATTATGTGAAGTTTGAAGTGTAACATTTGTTGTAGGAATTCTAATGGAGAAGACTGTAGTGTAAAAAATGAAGTGAGACATACACACTGTGTTTTTTCTTGACTGAGGGACCTCTCTGTAGACCACATTGGTGGTTATGCCCTCAGGTGCTAGGATCACCAAGCTGCTAGGTGAGCTCACTCGGGAGCAGGCCACATAGAACTGTCCATGTGAGAAGTAGTCATCTCTGTTAAGTCAATTCCTGCCATCTTAAGTGTCTGGCCTTGGGACTTGTTGATGGTCATAGCAAAGCAGACCTTGAGGGAAAACTGCAGCCTCTTGAACTCGAAGGGGTTTTGCTGATGGTATGAGTGGTATGCAAGCTATGCAAGGTATGAGCACTGATTCTCCTCAAGCACTGCCGGTGAGCAGTGTGGCCTTGATGATGTTCCCGTGCAGGGCTTTCACTTGCAATCTGGTGCCACTGCAGAGTTTGGGAGGGTTGAAGTTCTGCAGCAGTATCACTGGAGCCCCCACTCTGAGGAGAAGCTTGTGGGCTGGGAAACCAGGAGGGTTGAGGGTGTTGAGAAACTCTACAGGGTAGTGGACCATGTCATCCATTTACACCACCGAGTCCACAGATCTGTACACCATTTCTGCTCCCTTGAAGGAGTTAAGTAGAGTTTTATTAATGATGGTAGCTCTGTCGTTCCTGGGGGTCAGAATGGCAATATCAGGGTAAATTCTGGCTGTTGGTTCTGGTAGGGTCCTCACTACTGAGGCCAGGCATTAAGGGATGTGTTTTTATCTCAGAACATTGAGATCCACAGCTGAGCAATCAGAAGCAGGTGGGTGCAAAGCAGGCAGGTTTTTACCTCAGAACTCTGAGCTACACAGTTGACCAATGGGGGGGGGGAGGCAGCAGCCTGCCAGGCACATGAAAAACAATTGGGGGAACACATTTTGCCCCTTTTTTACCCCCTTACGGGTTGTGTTTCTCAGAAATCTCGTTGTAGTGGGGGTTGACATCATGGTAGGAATGCACTCCCCTTATTTTGGGTTTCTTGGTGAAGGGGTTTGGCCTGGGCATTGAAATTTTTTTGGGGGGGGGTGAAGGGCATACCCCCCTTTTTACAAAAAACTTCCCATTTATGTTACATTTAAGAAGTGGGACTTAACTATGTATTCAAAACAACATCTGTGCAATCAGATATTAAGCAAGTTCATATGAACCAATTTTCTAGAACCCACATTGTGAGAAGTTAAATAACCTAATACAGGAAAGCATTTTTCTACAAATTTGGGTTATATCTCCATAGTGGGTGGGATTGTGGCTAAGCTGTGCCAGCAGCATCGCTAAGGTGATCCTGCTCGGGTGGCCTCCCTCAATGTCCCTTCCAACCCTTGACAGGCAGTTGTCTGTCAGGTGTAGGAGGGGTAGCGTGTTTGAAGGCATTAGGGAGGCTGTGCCAGCAGGATTGCTAAGATGCTGCTGCTTGGGCAGCCTCCCCGATGGCTTTCAATTCTCTGCCCTTGTTCCTGCACCTGATGGACAATCGCCTATGTGGTGTAGGAGGGAGAGGGGTATTGCAAGCAATTGTGGAGGCTGGGGTGGCATGATTGCTAAGGCATTACTGCTGGGGCAGGCTCCCTGATTGTTTTAAGCACCCTGCACCCACTGCTGCACCTGACAGACAGCCACCTGTCAGGTTTATGAGGTGGGGGGAGCGTGTTTGAAGCCACTAGAGAGGCTGTGCCAGCAGCATTGCTGCACCTTACAGGTGGTTGTTGGCCATTCCTGATTTCTTCAACTGTCATTAGCTCTCTGCAGTCCCCTGTAACTGTTTTTTTAAAAACCTCAGAACACTGAGCTCTACAGCTGACCAATCAGAGAGTGGGAGGTGCAAGGAGGTAGCAGCCTGGTAGCCACATAGGAAGCAATGGTGGGAGCACATTTTACCTCTTTTAACCCCCTTAGGGGTCAAATTTCTAAAAATCCCTTCTTAGTAAGCACCTACATCATGGTAGGAGTGCTCTTCCCAAATTTTGTGTTCCTAGGTCCAGGAGTTTGGCCTGGGCGTTGATTTTATGGTGAGAGGGCTTTCTTTTATATATATAGATAGAAGTCAGAAAATTTTCTCAACGTCTAAGACAGTGCAATGACTGTGAGTCTATAAAAATGCTGTGCACACAGAAAGCTAACTGGGACAATCCTGTTTGTTCAGAAGATGGGCTAACTGGTCTCACTGGATATGGCCACTGATAAATTCAAATCTCTTCAGTAACTCTCTCCTTTTGCTGCCTTGGAAAGTGAAACTAGACAGTGTAGCATTATAAAAATGGTCAGATTGGAATGATTCCAAATGCTCCTGTTGTTTGTTAATGGAGTTTGGTTGGGGGTCAGATCTTGGTTAGTAAATTGCCTACTGCAGATATCTTGTTTTTAACAGGACATACAGTGTGTTACAGCAGTATCTCAATGTTTCTCTCACTGATTGTTCAAATCTTTATTAAATTTTTCATTAATTGAAAAGTAGAATCACTTGAAAAGTAGGATTACTCCATTGAATGTGTGCATACAGCATTTTCATAACCTTTCTATTATTTTTAAAATAATTCATTTTGATTTTTTTAAATGAAGTATATTTTTCAATACAGTGCCTTTTCCCCTTGCATAAAACCCCAGTTTCCACAGGCTATAGCACAGAATACATGGCGTAGATTTTTTAAAAAGTGTCTTTCTGACTGCAACAAATAATATATATTGCACTTTCCAGGTTTGAGCAATAGTAAGGAAGTTGACTGGATGGATTCTCACGGGGAGGAACAGCTTCTTTGGCAAAGGATGATTGACAGCCCTGGAGATTTTGTGGAAGGTACACTGATGCTGAGATCCAGCATGGGAAAACGCAGGATCTAAGAGTACTGTTTATCCAAGAATGACTCCAAATACATTACTGGTATGATTACAGTATGATAAAATGGAGTCTGTCCTGCAGTGGAGCTCCTTCAGTTAGAGTTTGCACATGTAAGAATGGAGAAGACAAACACTCTTCTTCAGTTTGGACTTTAAATTTCCAGGAATGGATTATAAATGCATTCTGCACTTTCCTAGATCTGCATTCTTATCACTGCTATACCTTGTTTATCTGAAACACCAGTGATACTGGTGAAAATTACCTTCAAGACTTATCTCCACAGAGCACAATTAAAGCACATCCTTTGATAACATTAAAAAAATACATATTTTATATTGTCATAGAAAAGCAGTGATGAATAAAAAAGTTCAAAAAGCTGAATAACTGTGCAGGTTCATTCAGTGTAAGCACCTTTCAAAGAAGCTGAATAACTGGAATAAGAATAGAAAGATTCAGGTTGTAAGCAAGCTGTAAAAATGATTACTTCTATCTACTTCCTGCGTACAACTCAGATGCTAATTTCCATGAATGGTTCCCTATAGTGCGTTTGGTAATAAAGCAAGTCAAGGATCTTCAGTTCCTCACTCTGATAAAAGAACTGCTGTGTGGGAGCTTGAGACCAGCAGATATTAATGCCGTGTAAGGGAGAAGAGTCCCATAAATCTTAACAAGAGTGCACCCCCCTTGTATTTTAGCACTTCATGTAAAAGTGCAGGTTGGAAAGTTCCAAGCAATGAGGGCACCAGTGTGTGTGGGGGGGAACCTTCAGGAAATAGTTGTCATTGGCCCTCTAGCATTTGCTCCGCTGTTTTATCAAACCCACATTGGAACAGAGATTCCCCTCTACATTGCATGCCACTTTCACTTCCTTTGATTGTTGGATTTTATGGTAGCCTCACACTACTTGCTAGTTTAACTTCCTTTGATCTCTCAGTTTTATGGTATTGTCTGCATAGATTTATGGCCATTTTATGGCCATTCAGGGGGTGACTCTGCAGTCAGTACAGCGTTGACCTGGGGTATTCGAATATAGTTTTGAGCCGCATCTTTTTCTGTTGCACTGTCGGTTTGGTAAAACAACAGAGCAAATCCTAGATGCAAAATGGGCCCTTCTGTTGTCTAATAGTGCACTCTCAAGGTAGTTCTTTCCATTACTTGAAGATACCATCTTCATATTTGGAACTGGAAATAGATAATCTGCTCTAGGTTAGGCTACTGGTGCCAAGGATGGAGATTCTACAACCACATGAGGGAGCTAAGCTGCACTAATAGTTAGGATTCCTTCTAGTATTTAATCTAAATCTATTTTCCTGCTGTGGATGCGAGAGAGCTAAGCTGCTAAGTTAGGATTCCTTCTAGTATGTAACCTAAATCTATTTTCCTGCTGTGGATGCGAGAATCTGTGGGAGTAAACAATTGTCCCCACAAAATTCTTCCTCTCGTTCTTTTAAGTATCTGAAAACTGTAATGCTATGAATATCTGTTATCACTGCCATCCCTTTCCTTAGTCATTGTTTTTATAGCACTGGAAATTGAGAGCTGAGACATTAAAATCTGATTTACAGTCTTGCTATACCTGGCATCTTTTTCATATACCTGGCATCTTTTTATATGTTTCATATAAGTTTAAAGAATTAATCCTGTTCCCCATGCTGCTGCTGCTTGGCTTTAGGATTCAAAAGATGCACATGCACTAATCCTCTTGAGTAATTTGAGATAGGACACTGCCTGAGGGATTCGAATGGTACAGCATGGCAGCATCTCGTGTAAATGTACTAGAGGATAAGAATGGCAGCATTCAATCTGATCTCTGCCCCTAAAGCACCAACATACCAATGAGCCACATTTCTACAGAGTTGGCAGAAATGGTTCCTGTGTCAGACCAAGCTGCATCAGTCACAAATAAACATTGGCTCTTGGGCAAGGGTTGTATTGCCCTGTACCTCTTGCTAGATACAGTGCCCAAATCACTGGACTTTTAAACCGAAAGCAAACAGTGTTATAGTTAAGATCTAGGATGCTATTCATATTTGTGAAACTTGGATGTGAAGCTACTGTATACCGAATCAGACCACTGGTCCATCTAAGAGCTCAGTATTGCTTACTCCAGCTGGCAGTGGCTCTCTTTGGTTTGATGCAGGTATCTTTCCCAGCTCTCCTTTTTAAAAAATTGGAGATACCAGGTATCAGTCCTGGGACCGTCTGCATACAAAACTTGCTATAATGCTGAGCTACCCCACTCCCATGTAAATATATTATAAGAATTGTGAGTTGTAAATTCCTTACTAAACTGATTTGATTTTAAAATGATTGGTTTGTATTTTTTAAAATCCTTAAGAACTCACATTTCCTTTACTTTCTTGAAAGAAAAAAAAAGACTTGCCTAAAGATACAAAAACACTTGAAGCATGAGATGGGAGCATATCTTTCATAGCTATATAAACATCAAATCAGCTGATTGTTAGCTAGTCCAGGGATCTTTGAGACAACTGTGTATTGGCTCAACATATTCATTAAGGTAGTCAGTGTCAAGAGCAGTAGGTACTATATACTCTTAAAATATAAATCAGGTGCATATTTTTTAACTGTAGCATATATCAAATAGTGCATTTTCACAGCTCCATCAAGCCATTTTTTTAAATTTATGTGAAAATTGTTTGAAACATTATGAAGCAATAAATATCAAAGCCAAAATATTAACAGTGAAAAACAAAATACAGTGCAGATATTCATGATGAAACAATTATGTTTTAGGAAATCAGGTTTAATGTAACCATACAAGTCTTTTGGCAAAAACTTCATATTATTATTATTATTATTACCCAGTCTTCTATGAATTTGTGAAATTCACTCAGTGGTAAGAGGATATATTTGTCTTTTGGCAAAGACTTCATATTATATTATTATCCAGTCTTCTATGGATTTGTAAAATTCACTCAGTGGTAAGAGGATATATTTTGTTTTTGCGTGTGCCCATATTGGATTATCCACAAGTACAAATTAAGCAGTAACTCAGCCAAAAATATACAAACCTTCCATGCCTGTATATAAGCAAATTCAGTTTTGCATTTCACAGTCCTGGTTCCTAAACGGGACTGAAGCTTTTATGTATGAAATGGCAAATAGATTCCGGAAGGGAACCGGTTCTCAAACGGGGTCTGTCTGAAATGACAGACCAGAAGCCGTTTGAGAACCGGTTCCCTTCCGGAATCTATCGCCTGTCTGAAATTCCCCAGAATGATGATGGCAGCTTAGGTCCATTTCAATGTACAAAATTTCCTTTTCTTTATTTATGTTAACTCCTAGTGTTTCTCATAATAAAATGGCCTTGATATTTCATGAAAATTGATGCAGCTACATGAAAGGATAGGTATTATGAGTATTGTGTGGATATACGTTTGCGGTAACAACATGTGTGAAAATTTGTTTGGTTTATCCCAGTTGAAACAAATGACGTCTCACAGTAAATAGTTGCATTTTTTTCTTTTTCAGATTATTCCAGTTACTTTGCTTGTGATTGTGAGTCATTATATATTGTGCGCTCATTTAACTAACCAGGATGTAGAGCAATTAAGGTCAGGGTTAAAAATCTTCATGTTTCTTATTCAACCCTGAAGTTGAAGACTGAATTAACCATATGAACTGTGGACATAGACAAGTAGAGCCAAACACTGTGGAAATCTCAGAAATGTTCACATCTGCGTACTGCTACATAACCAGACTACAGGACAATATTTATTTCAAATAGCACAAGAGACTAAACTAAAATACCCATTAGCATTTAACCACAAAGGTTTAGGGTTTTTTCTCCCCTGTTTATAGATTTGTCATCTATAAGTAATGAAATAAGTTTTGTTTTAAAAGTCTAAAGACAGAAGAAACCAATCTAATAATAAATCCTTAAATTTGGGAGCATCATTGTGTGATCTGAAAACTGACCAACACCAAAACAGCCCCTCAGAGCAAATCTGGTGAACAGAAAAATTATGTCCTGTTTCCTTCTCTACTTTTTTCTCTTGCAATGATATAGACATCTGGAATTTAAAAAGGTAGATCCTGCAAATTCCAACAGATAAGTGACAGTGACTTCTGTAACACTTGACAGACTGTTGAGCCATACTCAATTGCCATGGGGATGCCTTTATCTATGGGGATGCTATTTTGTGACTTGTACATGTAATTTAAGGAGCTGTGGTGGCTCAGGTGGTTGAGACGCTGAACTGCAGGTTGTGGAAGGTCGGTAGTTCAGCAGTTCGAAACCCGAGTGTGCCACATGATGGAGTGAGCTCCCATCTCTAGTTCCAGCTCCTGCCAACCTAGCGGTTCGAAAGCAAGAAATTGCAAGTGGGAAGGTAACAGCGTTCCGTGCGCCTTGGTGTTTAGTCATGCCGGCCACATGACCACGGAAACATCTTCAGACAGCGCTGGGTCTTCGGCTTTGAAACGGAGATGAGCACCGCAACCCTAGAGTCGAACTCGACTGGCTTTCGAGCAAGGGAACCTTTACCTTTACATGTAATTTGCTCTTTGGCACAATATAGATTAACTATCAGTAGTCGCCCATCTGGTAATGACAAGCAGGTTTCAACTTGCAAAGAAAAGGGATTGTTTCCTTCCCCCACAACTATTCATTTTAGAGGTTGACTAGCACAATTCATTTGTGGCAATAAATTACACGAACTGCATGTTTTAATAACTGCCCTGGGAAATTTAATTGGTTTGTCTTCAGATGACTGGAGCAGCAGATTAAGACACTTGTGTACTTTACTGATATTTTTATCAGCAGATATGCTTTGTTGTATTTGCTAACAATAATTAGATGTCTTTCTATTGTATTTATTCCAGTTAAAAGTTATTTGTCATGACTATCTCATTTGGAATATGTATGCTGGACGTGAACAGTAACAAATGATATATGGGACTACTTTATGTTATACCCTGCCAAAAATCATCTTTTCCCACTCAAGGTCGCTACTGTTTTTCCCTTCTGTATTTGTACATTCAGATTTGTGGACTGTGGGAGAAGGCTCCTTATAATTGTAAAGTTAAGTCTTATTTTGTGTACAATTAAAATCTTTAGCCATGTTACAAGTTTCAATCCTTTTGCAATCAGTATTTTTTTAAAGTAAAAGCTCTCAAGTCATTATTTCCCAGACTTCTCATTGCTGAGACCCACTGTGTTTCCAGTATTAAAACTGAATGTACACACAGCATTCTTGCATGCAAAAATGTTTGAATGTCTAAGGATAGGAACTTCTTCCCCTTGTATTCCTGCATGAGTCACTATACTAAT